TGACAGTTATGCCAATGTCTCCGATTGTACATTTTTATAACTTGTACAGCGAAAGGTTGTACCTAATAGATTATACAATTAATTGGCATAATGATGTGTAACATTGATTTAAGCCTTTATTATTCTTATCAAAAGTAGTACACCTCTCATCACATCATCATCAACTTGTACTTTTCACTTATTATGTAATCGTTTTCATTGTTAACATTGATTCATAAACTACCTTGACACCGTATACAATTTTTAAAAATCATTTTGTAAATCAAATGATTGATTTAATTAGTACATTGTCATTGATAACCAGTATCCGAATTGTTTCTGATGAATAAATCGATTTGGCACAAGTCAATGTAATTAATTATAGAATATTCCATTAGTAACATTATTTAATGCATACTATTTGATTCATTTATGGCAGATGATTTTGAGTCTATTAAAAATAGTTACTAAGTGATATTATACTAATAATCTACTGAATTGATGTGAAATATAACACATCAATAATACATGTTACTTCACGTGAATCTGTCAGAGCAACTGAAAATTTAATGAGCTAATTGGATCTACCATCAATAAATGACGTCAGAAAATTTACAAAAATATTGTATTTTGATCAATTTATGTTATTGGTAAATTATGTAGTGAATACTTGTAGTCCATATGAAGTCATGATGTAAAACACAGACTCCATTGATATTGACTCCAAAATAAAGGGAATAGTGAATTCAACTTACTTGACAGTATTTTAGTGACGTAGAATTAGCTTTATCTTTATAAGAATAGTTTTGATTACTGTTAAAATGAAGCTTTTAGAGGCCCGTTGATCTGACTCCATGTAGATCGTAATGATGATTGTTGTTGAAATATATATGTCACCTATCCTCGTTTGTTACAAAACCGTACCAAGGCATGACAAAAATACCAATACATATGATTAGTGATGCCGACGTATGAGACTGACTTGGATGTGATGAACAAGAGTGTATCTTTGAGAGACTAGCTCTAAACTCTATGTTCTGATATACAGTGCGATTGGTATAGAATAGTAGTTGCAGTACTCGAATAATGTTTTTGGGTAATTAATGATGCGGCATGTGGTTATACATGTGGACGAGGAGATAAGGTGAACGTAATGGTTTCTAATCAGCTAGTTAGAGGCATCCACAGACATAATAGGAGGCGATTTCGAAATGAAAAATGTATGTTGTGATAACATAAATTGCTGACCTCGACTAAGTGAATGAATGCAATATTAGATCAAAATGACATTAAAAATTGGAACGAACTCACTTAAAGCAGGAAAATTTCACGTTTTTGAATAGTAAAAATATCCCAATGAGTTCTCACAAAGTGGAGTGGAATTTTCATAAAATGATAATTTGTTCGGTGAGTGATATGATTACGAAAATGTCATAATTTAATGATAGCACGAACAAGATTAATAATTCCACATTCGGTCATGATATTGATAATAATGTAATAATAAGCATATAATGATAATTTGAATCGTAATTCAACAAACAGACGAATGGATCAATGAGAATGGTTGACATGAGTACAAAGTATCGATAAGATAATACGACTTGGGCATGTCCATACCATAATGCACAGGCTTCGTTGATTGCGTCGGATTGGATATTGCGCTGGCTTCGCTGAATTTGTTCGTCGAACGTATAGAGTGCAGAAGTTCCTTCATCCACGTAGCTTACTGCGTTGCGTTCGTCGTCGGCGGACTTACCAATTTTAGTTGCCCGTAGATCTGACTCCATATCAGAAGGCTGCGTGTTCGGATCACGTCGGGCTCACCATTTTTGTGGCCCGTGGATCTGACTCCTTCAATAACGGAATTAAATAAGTCAAATAATGAGAATATCAAAGTCCATTCTCGTTAATTGACTTATCTAAATTCCGTTATTGACTAACGTGATTTAAGTCGACGATGATATACGAGAAAAGGCGATAACAATCATTCGTACGCTCTAAAAGGAGTCAGATCAACGGGCATCTAAATGCTGAATACGAAAAGAATAGATAAATGTAAAACTATAGTGACCACTTTTTGTATTATGTTTTGTATATTAGACGCTAAGATTATAGTAGCCTTATATTCTTCTGTAGTGAACAAGAACACCAATGGGGAACAATCGTATGTATTTAACACAAAATTACAGGACTTGTTAATAAAATTTAACAATCATCAAGTAAATGCTTAATTTGCAAAATGTTCATCAATTGTCTCAAAATGACTCAGATTTCATTGTTCTTGCATTTTCATACAAAGTGCCATTCTGTTTCCATTCTTTATTGTTCGATCCTCTTGGATCTCTGCTGCCAGACCTCCTGTTTCCGACTAACATCATATACTACTTATGTAAATATAAGTAGCACACACCACACTTCGAATTGTAAGCCTACAAAAACTATTGTTATACTTTTTACCTTCACTAAGTTATTAATAGTTAGTTAGTTATATAACAGTTACTCAGTTCTCTTTGACTTATGGTACAGTTCTGATTACAATGTGCATTTTTAATTATGGTTGTGTGTGGTCAAGAAATTACTGTTCATTATTGTACCAGTTCAGTCATTAGAGACAAGTATATCATACAGATCTTAACCGCTTGCTAATTTCTTTTTGTGATTGAATACTTATTTGAAAGTAGTCCGATGATCGATAGGTGTTGAAATCTCGGTCATTGTTTATTGGTCAGTGAGTCATCAGTAGAATAGAAGGTCATCAGTTCTACAGTGAAAGGGTGAATTAATAAATCAATAATCGGAATAGATAATTAAGACTTTCTATCACCTTACTCATGTGGATTACAATACAATTGAAGAACCTGTTCCTTCTGAAAGATCTTACATTGCATTTCAGATTGTTATATATATTCAGACTAACAATGACTTATGTTAGTTTTAAGAAGAATGATTAATTATTAAAACTTCTACGAAAATGTGGTTGAAAAATAATCTGAATAGCTTTTCTAGTTCAGCATATAAAGCAGGTGACTCACCGTTAGTACATTTGACGGCATAAGAACTACACATTTTGAATGTCCCAGTTACTTACGAAATCCTCATTTCTTCTCATATGAAAATAAAACAATAGTTCAACAAGGACTATTGTTCAAAGATTTTGATTAGATAGGCTTTTTCAGTTCTTCTCTATAGGTATTCAGAATACGGTGTTTAAAACATTGATGAACCTATTATTATATTTATCTATGGGATATGTTGTTTAAATAACTCGGTAAACACTGACAAATGACCGTGTTCTACACCCTATGAAACAAAAAAATGTTCTTATAGTAACATGTTCTTAATAATGTAAATGCAAGAAATGTTATTTGTAGAAGTTTCTCTGTTATTACACTCAAATGCGTTTTATTCCAACAAATTGACAGATAAATTATCCAGATATTTCCGGTCATTCTTTCATTTATACGTGTGTATACGATGGTATTTATCTTTGTACTTATACTTCTTTTTCGTTTGTACATGATGAATCACCCATCATTCACTGAGTTGGGTTTTCGCGTTGATATTAAAGGAATTTAACTACAATATATAGTTGAAGTCGAATAAGACAGATATCTCATTAACGTTATCTTTTGTTTATTATAGAGTTAAACATTGACAAAGGATATTGGTGCGGACAGATCGTGAAGTGAAGAAAGTTTCATCAACAGAATTCTGAGTAGAACAATTGTGTTATGATAGGTATTCCAAATAAAATGGTTCCCTTAAAATGGATATAACAATTCAATGAGATCTATGAAGACACTAAGTATGATGAAAGGTTATGGTGACCATTGTATTTTCATGTTGACTGACTGTCAAATGCACTCATTTCTCACGATTCACAATTACGTCTCCCCTCAATGAATAAAATGAACACAAATTCACATTCTAATGAATGATTTGACGTCGAGAACATCACATAAAATGAAGAAGGAGATAAAGACTTTAATATTTTCCTGACAATAGAGACAGATAAATGACTAGTGTTTTGAAAGTTATAAGAATAATGTGAATGAAACTTTGTGAAATACACATTTCATGACTATAGTTTAAGTGTTTTTCTGAAAGATCGTTTGATTTGATTATTCGGAATGGGAATCAGTGAGAAGTAGGATTCTTGATTGAGATGATGAACCGATTGATGTTAGGCCACCTTTGGAAACGTGGAGGCACTGGACGGCCGTTTCGTCCTATTGTGGGACTCGTCAGCAGTGCGCACCACCACCCTTTGATGCCGGCTCAGTGGTCCAGCAAGTTAAGCGTTCGCGTGCGAGACTGAAGGCCTTGGGTTAGAGTCCTACGAGCTTGATTGTGGATACGCACTGCTGAGAAGTCCCACAATGAGATGAAACGGCCGTTCAGTGCTTCCACGTTTCCAAAGGTGGTCTAACATCAATCGGTTCATCATCTCAATGAAGAACTTAATAATCTCCACAACCCCTATACTAGAAATACGATTGTTGATCTTTGAAATACATCAGTCAGATATTATATTTGATTTCGTCTGTATGTTCTGTCTACATTCATATGTTTTATGTGTTGTTGTATCAGTGGAAATGTTTGTGATTACGGTTTTCCAGTGTATCAAACTTCAATTCAATCCTAAATCTCATGAAATGAAATGATTGGATTTGGAAATATTTCTAACCAAACTGAAAGAATCAAAATCATGTTTATCAAGTGATTGTTCCGTTATCATGAATTTGATCAGGTCAACTGTTCCACTTGGCAACATTTCTTCATAAAGTATATTAAGTCGACATATTAGAATTCAAGATTAGATCAAATGAATGTTTGAAGTTTATTGATTTAGTCTACTTTGAAAGTGCAATTTTAAAAGTGAAATGATTGCATGTAAACATTTTACGTGATTGGTTAACTGGCATAATTTAATAATAATAATATATATATCAACAAACTATAATATTTGAATACAAATGTAAAACTAAGACATTTATTCATGTATTTATACGTATTTAATTGAAACTATGCAAAAAATTATCCCCCTATTATTGATTTGTTTCTTTCTTTATATTGAAAGAATCTATGCTTCTAGTCGTGCTATAAATCATTATTTTCCCAAAGTAATATTTATTTCTCTCGATGGATTTCGTTATGATTACTTTGATATGGCTGAGGAAAGAAGTGTAAACATGTCAGCATTTGAAAAGATTAAAAGTCAAGGAGTTTACATAAGACGTATACAAAATGAATTCCCTACTTTAACATTCCCATCACATTTTTCAATGGTAACAGGCATGCACCCTGAAAGTCATGGAATAGTAGATAATGTGTTTTATGATCCATCTATTAATGCAACATTTTCATCAAGAAATCAGTCTACAGCATTAGATTCTAGATTCTATGATGTTGGAGCTGAACCGATTTGGGTAACGAACCAGTTTCATGGTCATAAAAGTGGAGTGACTTTCTGGATTGGAAGTGAGGCGAAAATCAAAGGTCAGAGACCAACTCATTATCTAGCACCCTACAATGAGAACATTACATTCAATCAGCGAATTGATATTTTGATGGGTTGGTTTGAACATGAAAATATTAACCTCGGTCTTATGTATTATCATCAACCTGATAGAGCAGGACATATTTATGGAGCGGCAAGTGACGAGGTTTTCAAAGCTATTGAGGAGATAAACCATGGACTAGATTATCTCTTGACATCGATTGAAAACCGACCATCACTTAGTTGCTGCCTCAATCTCATTTTATCAAGTGATCATGGAATGACGAACGTCAGTTCAGACAGAGTTATATATCTTCATGATTACATAGACCCGAATGAGTATACATCTGCTCCTAAGAAGTCAGCGGAAATCTGGACACTTTGGCCAAGACAAGGTAAGTCTTACCATTAACGATTTTTTCAAAGTCTAGGACATACTGCGCAATCATTATACGACAAATTGAAAGACAAGCACTTCAGATTAAATGTCTATTTGAAGGAGGAACTACCAACACGTTTATTTTATGATTCAAGTGATCGAGTTGGTCCTGTTGTTGTATATGCAGACATTGGATGGACGATTATTGCTGATAGAAGTTCTGGGGTAACATTGAGTAAGTGAACATTTATAAATAGTTTGCAACGGAATCAAGGGATATAATATAAGAGGAATAAGACAAAAAGTAGCGTTGATTAAAAACAGTCAAAAATAGAGTATACTTATAAGTAGAGAAAGTAGTCATACAGTGTAAAGGATGTCTGCCTATAACTACTGATGACCATAATCAATATTTTACAAAGTTTCATTGAATTCCGTTTCCATTTGATCACTTCATAATCAACTATAATTGTGATTTGATTGATCCCAATAAAAACACCAATATATGAACGAAGAACATTCTTTACAGTAATTTCTCACCAGGTTTTATAATCATATATCCAAATTAATAATCAAAAAGTGACTATGTTTAAAGCAAAGTACATTGTTTGAATTTATCTGGATAAATAGTAGATTTTGATAGTTGAATTGATGAATCGATATAAACTAGGCCACCATTGGAAACCTGGAAGCACTGGACGGCCGTTTTGTCCTAGTAAGATATTTCTGAGTAGTGCGTATCTATGATCATACACGCGGGACTCGAATTCACGACCCTCAGTTTCACGCGTGAACGTATAATTTGTACATTAAAATTAAAACACGAATTTCAGCGAAGGGATCTCTTTTCAACGAATTTATTATCAAGCTGTACAATCGTATGTACATGAAAATTTTTGTTTTTTTGTATAAATTATAGGCCGCCGAGCCGGGCATTCAAGAGTGTTAATTGTTATAACTTGTGGCTTTTTGCCCTACTAATATATTACGTAATGATACCACTAATTAGAGAGCAGTGAATTATCGACCGGACCAATGACGCATCAACCCGTACAGCAGTCTTCAGTCTTTATCAGCCCTTCTCCCTGCCTAGCCTGCCTGTTAAATCCAGAACATCAATCTCAGCCTCTGAGATATGAATCATGTATTTCGAACATACCACCATCGTAAAATAAAATAGAAAATAACATTTGTACAAGATCTAGCCAAAAGTGACTGGGTATAACTTAAGAATGGTAAATCGTATAATAATAGTGCATGGCTCAAAATGAAGCTTATAATAAGAGAAACACGAATATGCATAGTTTAGCTACTTAACAATCATACAATAAAAATAAATGTGCAGTAATACTCCAGAAATAAATTCTCATCGGGACAAAATTAATGTCTAACTTCAATCGATCCACGATTTTCCACAACCCTTCATCCATTGTCTGATGTACATAAGTGTATCCAGCCGACACGGATTAGACTCCATCGGTCATGGTTTCTCGTTAGAACTTAAGGAAATCCACCTTGAAGCTGGTCACTCGTCAGCACATGATCATTATCAGAATGATGGTCGACTCATGAATTCAACTATTAAAATTACTACATTCTCGACAAATCCTCATTCTGATTGAGAATAACATATTATTGAGACTATAAGACATTATGAATATTCAAATTAATATTTCTGTTTATCCGAGAACAAAACTATATGATATTCATCAGTTGATGCTTGTTACATTTCTGGAAATTTGAAGTGGTGTAAGTAAATTGAATATCCGCTGTTGTTTCATAAAATACTATGTGAGAGAAATCACATGTGTAAAGATGGTATAATTTATACAAGCGACAAGAAATCAGAAAAGTCCAATAACTTCATTCACTTATTCAGTGCAATTCTGTTCGGTTTATAATCTTAACAACCCGCAGATATTAAATAAAGGTGATATGACTTCTTCAGATCTTGGTGTCTATGGATATTATTGATTTAAATGTAAGAACATTCGTTCATCATGTTTAATCTAAAGTGTAACAGATTTTCAAGTAAAATAAATGAATTTTAATAGTTTTGAATTACAAATGACAATTTTTAAACACAGTAATATATTAAATTCACTTGGTGTTGTTTTACTTGTATCTTCCCATTGTTATTTATGACTGCATATGTGCATCCTGTGCGATATAGCCTTAAATCACAAGCTTTGTAAGCAAAGCTGATGAGTCCCAAATAGGACGAAACGCGCGTCCTGGATTCCACTATTGACCACTATACATCTTTGCATTCTTAAATAACAATGATACAAGTAAAACAACACCAAGTGAATTCAAACTTCATCCCATCGCACGAGCAAATGGCTATCAATACTCAGTAGCTGAGTGGATAACGCGATGACGTTTGAAGCGAATAGTACTGAGTTCGAGTACCATAGTGAACATCAACTCTGAGATACAGGTACATCCAGCTGACGAATCTCAAAACGGGACAAAACGCGCGTACTGGGTTACACTGCTAGCCGCTATCCATCATAGTATTATGTCATTCTAGCCGCAAGTTAGAGCTTTGTTTAACTTCATAATCTCAAAGATATGCAGAAGTATTAAAGTATTTATCTTTTTACAGTGATACCGAAATATATCTTGCTTTATAAACTCTAAAGTTATATTAAACTTCACATTGAAATATTAAACTTGGGTAATAAATCTCATTATTTTCAATTGTCTGTTGATAGAAAATAAAGGTTCTCATGGTTATGATCCAGATTACAAAGATATGTCTCCATTTCTAATGGCAATGGGACCTCATATATCTAAAAATCAAACAACAGAATTAGAAGAAACAGTCAGACTGATTGATATTTACTCACTGATTTGTCTTATACTTAAGTTGAAACCTGCTCCTAATAATGGCAGTGTTTGTCGAGTTGCCCCATTGGTAATTCATGTAAGTTTTTCTTTCCAGATCATACAGTTATTGTATCATCATATTCATACCATTCTACACAATTCCTTATGATACATTATGATGTTATCGAAGCATAGAACACGAACTCAATTATGAATGATAATAGAAATCTATCATCCGAATAAACAAATTAAAGTCCATTTTACTAAATAAATTCATCTCTCAAACGATATAATTTACTAATCTATATGTAATCGTTTTTATGGTTTAGTTTATAGTAAAATAAATACTAAATGATTTCAATAGTTGAAATCATGAGTCGATTGAAACTAGACCATCATGGAAAACCTGGAAGCACTGGATGGCCATTTCGTTCTAGTATGGGACTCCTCAACAGTGCGCATCCACAACCTCGACTCGCAAGATTTGAACTAAATGAGTTATCAATAAAGTCAAAAAAAACTTTCATTAAAAATCTAGTGTTGAGTAAATGGTAACAAGAATGAAAATAAAATATAAAAAAAGACAGATGTATCAGATAATTGTCTATTCAAAGAATAGTTATTATATAATGAAGTGAATAGTACAAGTTGGAAAGATTTTCGAGAATAAAAAAAAGAGGTTGTTTTGAGACCATGATAAGATTAGTAAATAACTAAACATACCATCTATGAACATAAAGATCAAGTTTGTATTGATTAATTATCAAAAACTCCTCAAAATGAATTACAAATTAAGTAAGTGACAATGTATCTTGAAACCACTAAACTCACTAAGTTACTATCAATCAATTTGTTGATTATTCTAATTCTCTATTCAGTATAATAAGAGTCTCTGTTTTGAATTATGAATTCATATTATAATGATTATTATGTATTTTGTCGGTCATACCAAATTGATATAAGATGGTTACAAAAAATAGTAGTTTCTATAGCCTTATAGTGTTATAGCTTCATTAGTTGATCACCTTCGTAATCTCTATTATATAAGTCTCATGGTGTGTGAAGTCAGAAAGTATATAAGGAGTAATTACAGTTTATTTGCGGATAGCATGGATAACAAAGCCATAAACACATCAAGTGAATTGAACGTGTATATGTGTGAGAGAATACAGAGGTAAATTTTATAATCAAATTGCATAAGAGCACAACAAGTCAAAGCAAAGACTAATAATAAGATTTGCGTACATATATATACATGAGGAAGAGAATGAATCACTGGGTGGTAATATTTAAGCGATCAATATTTTGTCTAGAGTCTGTCATGTGATCAAGAGTACACGTTTAATTAGATATGGTAGTGTTTATAAAATAGTACAGAGAAATATGCGAATTGTTATTATTCAATTAACATTGTCTGTTAATTAAGTTAATAAAAATGGTTTATCAGTATGGGGGTTGTGGTCTAACATCAATTAATTCATGATCTCAACCAAAAATAAACTTAACAATCTCCACAACCCCCATACAAATAACTAACATGTGCTCACTAGTGATTAGCTTCGTGAGGGAATTCTCGGAGTTCTAGTGAGAAGTCGTGACCAGTGGAGCTAATCCGTATCGGGTAGAGACAGCTATCTACCTCAGTACAATGGAAGGTGGTCGCGCAATTTCGTGGATTGGTTCATGTTATACACTAACACCATTGGATGCCGGCTCAGTGGTCTAATGGTTAAGTGCTCAGGCGCGAAGCCAGAAGGTCCTGTGTTCGAATCCCGCGTCGTGCAGGATCGTGGGTGCGCACTGCTGAGGAGTCCCATACTAGGACGAAACGGAAGTCCAGTGCTTCCAGGTTTCCAACGGTGGTCCAACATCAATTAATTCATGATCTCAACCAAAAAAAATGGTTTAACCAAAATTAATCATAATAGTAATTGATTGCAGGATAGTTGCTATAGCCTATGCATGAATAACAATAACATTAATTTTCTATATGTTATCACAGGAAATGACTAGTTATATGTAGGTTTACGTAATTTCAAATCAATTGCGTGTGGTTTGTATAGTTACAAAGCATCACTTGGATTGTTTATTCATCAATGCGATTGTTTTGTTTGCATGTTTGTTTTTTTGTAAGTCATAAATGACAATTCAATTTCATTGAATTGAGTTTCATTCAACTCTCATTACAACATCTTTTCTAATTGTATTCTAGAAAAATATTGCCAATGTCAACAGATCACCTACTATATTCATTATGAAATTTGTTATTCTAACTATTTTCATGTCATACAATGGATTTAATAATTGAAATCATATACATTTCTGTTGAATTAATCGTTGATGTTCTAATAAGGAAACATGTTTACTTGTTTGTTTCATTAAGATGCAACTAATTACATAATTGTCATGTGTTAGTAAAACAAACAATTGGATTGTTAACTAATACTTAGATTGTATAATTTTTCTCATTCTTGATAACTGATTGGTTTGTTCTGTTTGAAGTGTTTATTTTTCCTGATATTTTAATGTATGCATTCTTATATGAAATGGTGTAAAACATTGTAAAACATAATCAATATTGTGATGATTGTATTATTCTGTAATGTGGTTGTACATTGTTATTCTGTAAAATGTGATAACATCCCTTTGATACAACATGATGTACTTACTTACTACTTATAGGCGTAATTAAGTAGTAAGTATATCTTGATGCAACTATTCATCTTTAATGCACCATCATAGTTATAAATATGTCAGTAATAACTTTGACTTTACAATATTAAATAGATTATAAACCTCTGATGAGAATCTAATGAAATAAAATGAATCCATTCATTATTTTGCACTGATCTTTGTTTTTTTTCTCTGTTTAAGATGAAAGGGATACAATAGTTGTCAATTAATTCATCTCACTGATTGAAATCATGAGTCAGTTGAAGCTAGACCACCTGCAGTGCGCATCCACGATCCCGAATTCTCTACTAGGATGAAAAGGCCATCCAGTGCTTCCAGGATTTCCATGGTGATCTAGCTTCAATTGATTTATGATTTCAATCAGTGAATTTTCTAAAATCTTCACAAAACCCATTCTGATGATTAATTCATCATCAGGCTTTACAGTTTCATATCCATATTTACAAAGGTCAAAATAAAACATACATTAGATAATGTCATTTGTTAAAAATGGTGAAAATTTACATCCGCTACGGCATGAATTATTCAAAGTTGTATCATTTGAAAATCGGGGAGGTCATTTATGATGAAGTTTAAAATGATTCATTTTAAAGTTTCAAGTTGTCATTGATATAATAGGAATAAAGTAAATCATGTGAGTAAAATGCATAGTAGCATGTTATGACTTTATGTCCGGCTAGTGATTTATCCACCAATCAAAATACAATTTTAGCACTGTGCCAAATCAATGACATCCGACCGGTGTTAGCAACATAGTGTCCTTATTGGTCCTATGTCCTTCTAGTCCGTCAACTTGAGTCCAGAACACCAATAACAGCTTCCAATATGCGAATCGAATCATTTATTTCAGACATACTGGGTTTATATATCAACCAAACATACCACAACGCACCATAAAATAGGAAATAACATTTGTACAATATTTGACCAAATGTGGCTGTGAACGTGGGAGACAGTAGTCAATAAACTGAACATAGTTTACGAACACTAAATCGTACAACAATAAATGATATGTCAAAATGAAGCTTATAATAAGCGGAATATAAATATACATAACCTTATTATTGAATAGTTATACCATGAGAATGTATAGATAATATTAGTCAATTAATGACTCAGAAGTTACTCGTGATTTAATCTTCGCTCTGATACAACATAGGAGAATTTTGTCTCGTTCACGGTTTGGTTTGAGTGTAGTATGGACCGTTAAAAGACTCGCTGAGTGAACTAGCTTATTACTGTCGATAAATATATGACACAGTAACCTTTCGTGGTAAAGGTATCAACAACAAAGAGCTGGAAACAGTTTCAATAATATTCAAGCAGCTATTACATTCGTAAGGTAAGAGGAAAATGATAACTATGTATTGTTCCTTGATGTTCTGCTTTCTAGAAAGATAAAACTTACTTACCTAAACCAGTTACCATTGGTGAAGCAGCATAGGCCACGCGCAAACATCCTCCATCGATCTTTGTCCTGAGAAGTCCTTTCCAGTTTTTTTCCAGTTGCTATTCATCATTCAATTCTCGGTGCAATATGTTTATTGGCCCTCCTTTTTTCAGTTACTCTTCAGGATTCCAAGTTAGTAGAACCACAAAAGGTTACACAGAGAGAAATTTATTTAGAGAGAATACATGGGCCGGTCGGTATATCCATTTCGATAGCTTTACAACTCTTCAGTGCAAAATAAATTTGGTTAAATGTCTCAACCACAAAATAAGACTATAATTTTCTGAGGGTAGTGTAGATGATGAAATAGACAAACTGAAGAATACATTATGGAATAACGGTTATCCAGGTAATTTCCTCAAAAGAATATCTATCAGGACGAAAAAAATAGACCAAACACAGACACAGTCAGTAGGAAAACTTTATCTGAAACTCGATTTTAATGGGGGGGATATTAAACGCCGTCAAGTTGAATGTATACTTCTCAACCAAAACGGTCCTTGCACAACGAATGAAGGATATGTTAGTATACCGTTGATGGACCGTTCGATGCGTGTATACCAATTCAACTGCTCCTCTGGAGCTGATTACACTCGGAGGGCCTTGTCCTTGCCTGTTTGTGAACACGTACCGGCACTGTTGGGAAAAGGATCTACGAAATTTATTAACGGTACCATGGTTTCTCGCTTAGTAGATGGTGACTATCATATCAAAACAGATGAAGCTGTGACTGTCTTACATCGCATTCCAATTAATCTACGGCTCCTCTACATAACTGAAGCCATCTGGATCAGCTCAATAAAATCTAACTAATGTATCAACAAGGAAAAGACGTATGTTCAACTACTGTGTATAACTTAATCCATGACTAAATAACCAGATACCCAAACTGGTTATTATAAACCCATCGTTTCTTCAACACCTTTGTGTTTACATCCTTCTTAATCTACCCAGTCGTCTATACCAATTCATATAAGTCTCTCATCATAATTAGGTCCACAGAACGCCTTTTATTTCATCCTATACTCTCAAAAGGTTATTATTATTATTGTCATCTACATGAACGAGACAAGATTCACCCACTATACATTTTATTCACACGATTTACTTTATTAATGATAACTTGACACTTTAAAATGAATCATTTTAACCTTCATTATAAATGACTTCCGTGATTTACAAATGATACAACTTTGAATTCTTCATAATGTAACAGAGGTCAATGTTTCACTATTTTTAACAAATGACATTATCTAATTCACTAATATATATGTTTGTTTTGACCTTTTTATAAACAAAACAAAACACAATAATTATGGAGTAATAATTGTTGTAGTCTAACTTAGATCATGATATTAGTGATATTCAATAATCTCTATCACCGAATATTGATAATTATGATTGAAGAGTTTGATGACCAAATTATTGTAAACAATCATTCACTGAAATATTCTTTGTTTTTTCAATATTCTATTAGCATTTCTAAACTCATTGTAAAGCATAGAAACACGTTTGAGTTTAATACAATTTGTTTCACAGTTATTTGATTTGTTATGTAGCGTGGCGTCGAGTTGAGGTTAACTGTGAACACCGCTACAAAGAAACACGTGCCAAGCGAATCAGAAGGCGAGGGTTGGACGTAACCAAATAGATCCATAAAATCCCCGAGAAGCCAAATATCAGAAGACAGTTAATGGACCAAGTCGAGATTTATTAGCTGGTGATCTCGTGGCATTGAAAGGATACCGAGATCGTGCCAGGATACAACCTTGGTCACAGAAGGTAACCGAATTCGCGCGAAGTTACAATAGAAGTGTAAGTAAAACAATGGAAGCACAAAATAGCTGTCATTAGCACAGTCAAACAAAAGCACGTTAAAACAAACACTGGTACAGTTGGCTATAATAATAATTGTTTTTATTAAACCAGTCGTGTTCTCGTGATAAACGTGAGTCACTACAGTTAAAACCTAACAAGAAATGATAATTTAATTGAAGTAGTTAAGTGGATAACTGAATAGTATTTGAAGAGAGAATAATTAACTCTGGGATGTAGATGCATTGAACTGATAAGTCTCATATAGGATGAAACATGTATCCTATATTCAATTGCTAGATACCATCCATACTTGCTTAAAATAGGAAATTGTATTATAACTAATAGAAACTAAGCCTTAATTACAAGAAGCATTAGTAACGTATGTCAAAAGTCTACACGTTTATTCAATAATTTTTATTGATGTCTATCATTTAAAAGTCACATTGTTCTTCTTTTTATTATTATCATTAAATGATTTGGTATGATTGTTTATTTTTGTTTTCAATGTTTTGTCGTTGTTAAATCTATCGAAACGTCCAGGTCACCAGATTGAGATACGCGCAAAACGGAAGATCCAAAACAACAATTTGTCTACAATAGCGGTTCTTTATTGAATAATACACAAAATTTAGTTACAAACCTCAACTTGTGAGGTGTCTGGGGCGTTTAAACGTGTCCTTCAGGTATGAAACAAAAATGCTTTCTGTAACAGTAACATAAAGAATAATTACAACATACGATAGTACAAAGGACAGCTGATAGCTGTGTCTAAATTTGATAACAGTTTATGAACAACCGAAACCTGAACCAAGAGCAAAACAATATGGAAACTGTTGCGTTTAAACAATTGCACGAAACCGTGGATAACCACTGCAGTGGTTAAGGTACAGTAATTATAATGATAAATAAAATCGTAAGTACAATAAACGTTATAAGTATACGTGAACATTTAAGATTATTACAGTACAACTTGCGTTACAATATACGTGTAAAAATTGTTGCGAATACGTTTGCTTACTGACTGCAAATAAGTAGTATAAAACAATATACAAAGGAGCGGAAAAGGAGCTAGTAGGAACAATGTATGACAAACTTAACAGTCATAAAACACGTCTTTTAATACGTGTCTCGCGCCAGGCGCTTAACAACTAAACCACTGAGCTGGCCAGCATACAACGGTGTTAATGTCTAACTTCAACTTATCCACGACATAAAACGACACATCCACCATTGTCTTCAGTGAGTTGATATCTCATAGCAGACCTGGTTGAAATCCACTGGTAACGGCTTCTTACTAGAACTCCAGGAGTATCTCTTGAAGTCAGTCACTAGTAAGCACGTTACAT